TGTTTAGATGTTTTATGATTAAGGTCCCTGTTCTGGAAAAAAAAACAACAACAAAAACAACAAGGAAAGGAAAATTTATATATGTAGGAAAACTGCTGATTAATCAGTTACTAACTTTGTGGTGTAATGTAACATGTTCAGAATTTTGTTCACTAGGAAAATAAAAACATATGACATAGAACTTGTGTTTATGATGTGTAGATATTGAAATTTCTGAGGATTTTAATAACAATAAATTCACTTCTAATTTTTGTTGTTGTTTGATAATTCAGTACTTGCTACATTTTGGATGGGTCAAAGGAATGACAAACATAAGATAGTATATATATATATATGATTAATTATTTTCTATTTATAAATCATGGCCTGGTGGTTAAGATATTCCATTCCTAATCTGAGGGTTATGGGTTCGAATCCCCATCACTGAACATGCTCACCCTTTAAGTTGTGGGGGTATTATAAAGTGACAGTCAATCCCACTATTCATTGATAAAACAGTAGCCCAAGACAAGGGTTGGTAGTGGGTGGTGTTCCCTCTAGTCTATAACTTCTAAGTTAGGGATGGCTAGCACAGATAGCCTTCATGTAACTTTGTGCAATTTTCAAAGACAGAGAAACAAAACACTTACAAATAGTATACTAGTTGGAAATAGCACTAGAAATTAATGAAACTCGTATAACATTTTTCAGTGAAGACATTCCTAAATATTTCTATTTTTTGTAGAGTGTTGAGGGAGAAAATCATGAGAAAGCGGTACAGCTATTGAAAGCAGCCCAGGGCAGTGTGAAACTTGTAGTCCGTTACACTCCGAAAGTCTTAGAGGAGATGGAGATGAGATTTGATAAACAAAGAGCCATGAGAAGGCGTCAAAATATCCAATAAACATGACTGTATTTTTCAGTTATAAAACTACATTTTGATATGTTTATGTTGTTTTTGTGACTGAAGAATATTAGTATTTTAGTAATTCATGTTCAGTGCGTGTTACTTATGGGTAAGGGTTTCGTATTCATTCCAGTAAGATAACTAAGGTACATTGTTTGCAATTATTTTATTAAATTGCTTATATATTTTAGAACCAAGGTGTCTGTTTAAACATTACAAATTATTTGAGAAATACCCATTTGTGTACGAGATATAACATTTTTACTCGTTATTTCTGGCCGACAATATTGAAAAGACGTCTGTACATTAATAGTGGTGAAGGAAGATCCGGTAGCATAACATTTTGAATTATTTTATTCTTGATAAGTCAGTTAATAATGAGGTTAGCCAATATCTAAAAAATCTAATAAAAGCATATTTACTTTTTATGTTTGATAGAATTTAACCCATAAATTAATCAGATATTTTTTACCTTTGCACTGCATGAAATTACTTGTCTAACAGGTTGGTTCAAAACACAAGTTTTATGATAAAAATTGTAATTCTAGAAGTATTGGTGGGTGGAATGAATTTATGGAGAGAGACTAAAATTTCCAAATTTTTTGTTTCAAATTAGTCATTCAGAAAAGAACTGTGCATACTTAGTTGTTTCAGTCCACAATGTAAATAGTATTTGGTGGATTTAGATTTATGAAAGAAAACATTTTAATTGTTTTAATAATTATGACTGATTTTTGTTGTCTACACTAAATCCAAAGGTTCAGCAACTGTAAAGCCAATGTTATATGGCAATCTTTATGTGGTTGTAGACTGATAACTTTTAGTTCAGGTTGAAAACATTTAACAGACAAGGCTGAATTAAAATCATTATTTGTAAAACATTAATTTTGCTGTTCATCTAGTTTTCACTTTGATAAGATTATGTTATGTTAAAGAAGCAATTTGTCAAAGGCCACTTCTGTAGTATGTCGTGCAGCTTGAGAGAAGAATCAGATGTTATGAATATGGTGATTTCTGTTTGTTTAGATTTAACTGCAGAGTTTTAATTATCTTTGTGTAATATTTCTTCCTAAGAACAAAAGTTGAATTTTGAGCAGGAAAGTAAAATTTCATTTTAAAGTTTTCATAATTAAAGATCTTAAAGCTACAGTGAGAGTATCTTCTAACAATCATTAGCTCTAGATTTTCAGAATTACTGTTGTTTATTACATAAAACCAGTTCTGTATGAATAAAGTTTTGATAATAATAATAACCTACTCGTGTTCTGATCAAATTTCAGAGGGTAAACCAAACAATTAATGATGTAATATAATATTCTTTCCAGTATACTCTGACATTGGTTTTAAAAGTAAAACTAAGGATTTTAGAGAGAAAAAATACAAGTTAAAATTTTTCTTATTAGAATGAATTTTCTAGCCTACAGAACAAACTTTTCAAGAAATATGAGTTACAAATAAGGATTTGTGAGTGAATATTAGATAAAGAAAAGTGTATAATAATAGTTATTGCTTCCAAACGTTTATGGTATCCGAGTTCACTGATATCCAGTAGATAAGTGTAAAAGGTTCTATAAAACACAGACTCCAAAAATGTTTTGATCCCAAGAAGAAATTGAACTTGGACAACAAAGTACTAATAAGTACAAACACGTGGAAAAATATGCAGCCTTTATTTGAATAGAAGGATTAGTAGATGATAATGAATTTTTGACATTTAGTTAAAAAAATATTTTTATACTACATGCAGAACGACTGCATGAAAAATTTAGAACAAAAAATTAACATACCTAATTAAAGATGTGTATTTTATATATAGAGGGATGAAATTCATGATTACTTCATTCATTACACTTTACCATCTGATCACAAAGTTATGTTTTAGAACTGACTCGTAATTTGGATATGGTTAAATACTATTTCTTGCAAAATGGATATCACAGAATTATATTAACAGTAGTGAAAAATAATAGCTTGGCAAGTATATTGTACTGTGTAATTCCAAATACTTCAACAAAGATATGTACTTTAATACGTAATGTACAACATATCACACGTTAGTTATCTAAATGTGTTTACATGATACATATGTTTATCTGGTTACCTACCCTGACCACAAACCTTGAAAAGAAGAGCTGGTTAACCAATACTGGTGTGGTATTCTCAAGTAAAACTGATTTCTGGAAAGAGTAAATTAAGTAGGACTTCTACAGTATTTATGGATAGGATATATATCACAAAATGATACAGAATTTAGCTAAAACTGAGTTTGAACAAAGAAAAGACTGTACACAGTATGTAACACACACAATGAAAACTGTGTGTGTGTGTGTACTTGTTTCTGGTTGCTGAGCAGTTGCCTTTTTAATACTGGATTCGTGAATCGATTAAACTGGCTTCTTCCCTAGAGCTTTATTGCTGTTAACCAGTTCACTTAAGACAGGTACATAAATGTTTAAGTCTAACATTTGTTACTTAACGGGAAACATCTGATTTACCCATAGAAACTAGAACATCACACGTGACTTGTCAATATCATTTAAACATGTAGAGTCTGGGACATCAAGACATCATCTGGCTTACTGTTGGAGGTGACACTGGCTGTCAACATTCTTGAGTACGTGCAGCATTACGGCATTCCACCCATTCGCAAAACAGGTGTGTCCTCAATTGAATGATAAAGAGCAGAGGCAGTTTGTAACAAAACCAACTAAATAATTTTCTTAAATGTGATATATGAAACTACATAGATTTAGAAAAACAAAAAAAAGTGAAGATTTTTACATTAAAATGAGAAGGCAGGAAATGTAAGGTATGTCTGCATACCACATTGGAAAATACTTTAAACAACTACTTGGTGTCGGTATGTCTGCATACCACATTGGAAAATACTTTAAACAAGTATTTGGTGTCGGTATGTCTGCATACCACATTGGAAAATACTTTAAACAAATATTTGGTGTATTTTAACTAAAACAGTTACTTCGCAAGGAACAACGAAGAAATCGGAGATTGGAATAAGTATTTAAAATAATTTTTTTAACTTTAATATTTTATCACATATTTATACCTTTAAAATAATAAGAGTAGCACGTATTTATACTAAAACACAATCATATATGACTAGTGATCCAGATGAAAGATTAATATATTACTAACATGTCTTAATATAGATGCATGAAAAACAACACATCACAACAATAACTTTGTTCACAAAGTTTCTTAGATTTCAAAAGTACTAGTATTTTCTGTATGTGCTTCTTTTTTGAATCTAACAAGTTAACTTATTTTCTCAACGAAGTTATTGTGTTGGTAAGTTATGAAGCTTGAATTTGTAGTAGGCACCTTCATTCCCTGATGTTTTATGGAAAGAAAGGTCATTTTTTACCATTGTTTATCAATAGCATTATTATAAACATGAACTTAATCTGTTAGAGGTATATTCTCGCAATAATGAATTAGGAATGAACGTTAAAACTTAACTCCCAACATATTAAGTGGTAGGCCTCTCAGACTGTGAATGTGTGAATTTCTAGATTTTGTCAGTGGACAAAAGCTACCAATACAAATCGTCTTGCTAGTCGTTGAGAGAGCGATACCCTGAGTTGTTGCCAAGCATGACTGCTTAATGTACACAGACCTTCTACTTCAAGAGAGACGACCAGCTGTCGGGTCGGAGATGGGAGAAAATTGGCTGGCAAAAGGTTCCAGATTCTCAGCAGACGAGTCAGTAAGCCTCCACCAATAACGATGAAAATTTGTGGGTCATGAGAAAACCTCTCCATGAAGGGAAATACCCTGCTGCCCCAAGAGTAAGGATACAGTGTGTGCTGTGCTTCCTCCCTGTGAAAACAAGGATATATATTTGGCTTCTGCACATTAAAGAGGAGAAGTACAGCTGGAGAAGAATGTCCACCATAGTGATCTGTATCACCATCAAGCAGTGTAGCGAGTGTTTCCTCTATGATGACGATAAGTGTAGCCAGAGAGATTCTCTCCAAGAGGAGAGGTGAGTGGCTGAGGCAACTGCTTGTCGTAGAGTTAGCAAGGGTCCAAGAGGACCACCTGACGAGACGTGGTCTGCATCTTACCACGGAGTTCCGAACCAACTGTAGGGCTCTGAGATCTTGAAAACATTCCTTTGAGTCCCAACGATCTTCCCTGGGCTAAATCTGCGTGATATCACAGTAGATTTGCCCTAAACTAACAAACAAACATTTTATTATTTTCTGGTGTCATTTATTACGATTCGAGATTCTGTGGCTTGCGCCCCTTTATCACCATGAAAAAAACAATCAGGCTCTATAATTTGGATGTATTGTAAGAGTGATAATTAAATCGCACTATTTTCTTAGAACAGCCCACAAGTTGACGGTAAGTGGTATTTTCCTTCCATCTAGTTTATCATTTTAAAGTAAGTGCCACTAGCGCAGATTGCTCTTTAATAGTTTTGTGCGAAATTCAACAAAACAATTATTAAAGAAATTTATGACAGTTAACAATGATTGTATGATTTGTTGAATTTACACTATAAATAATGACAAAAAAAAACGAATTATTCTATATTTTGCCTCATGAATTAAATTGTGTATAAAACAGATACACTGAAATGTGTTACTGTGACTATTTATTTAAATCAATCATACTAACATTTTCTAGTGTTAGAAATATGAATCACAGAAACCAAAGCATCTGAAGAACATTCTGACAATGTTGTATAGAGAATAGTTATTATATTAGTTAAATATTAACGAACTTCCCATAGACACTTTTTAAAGATATGTACATTGTAGATGTAGAAAAAAAACAGCCCGGCATGGCCAGGTGGTTAGGGCGCTCGACTCGCAGTCTGAAGGTCGCGGTTTCGAATCTCTGTCCAACCAGCTGTGGGGGCGTTATATAATGAAGGTCAAGAGTTAACGGTGGGTGGTGATGACTAGCTTCCTTCTCTCTCAAGCTGCCTTCTCACTGCTAAATTAGGGACGGCTAATGCAGATAGCCCTCGTGTAGCTTTGCGCGAAATTCATTAACAAACAAACAGAAAAGACATTTGAAACGATGTAAAGCCATTTGTATAACAGATTCACTGGAACTTTAGGGAAAGATTTGTTAAAATAGTTATATTGAAACTTTTGTTCTTTAATGGTTAGAGTACTTTTTGTGTTTGCTTGTATTTATAAGCACTAAGCAACGCAGTGGGTTATTTGTTTTGTGTCAACACACGGGTATCGAAACCCGGTTTTTAGCGTTTATAAACCTCCAGACTTACCGCTATGACACTGGGGGGTTAAAGTATTTAGTTTCTAGAGGCTAATAGTACAACAGTATGACATAAAACGTGTATCCATAGTTTATTTAACAATGTAACATTTTACATCCATGTAACACATGTGTAAACTCGTAGTTTATTTCTTGAAAGAAATAGCTACAATTTAAGTCCGCAAAATTAGTAATAAAACTTTTCGTTTGATTTTATTATTATATTTAATTTTAATGCATGATTCAAACCATCTAGTTAACTATATTCACAGAATAGTGTCTAATAATACAAGAAAGCTTCCAATTCAGCTGGTTATATCTTAAGGACACAAGAAAGTTAAGATGATTAATTTGAAAATGATCTTTTTGTTTTCTACTTTGTATATTTCATAATTTGAAGTTAAATAAATCAATATATGTCATTTCTTGTTAAAAACAAACTTGTAATAGAGTTGTACATCCGTGCTCGTTTTAAAAACAAATGAAACAAACAAAGAATTTGTTTCTGAAATATTTCATAAAAGAAAAACCTCTATTGCAATTAAACAGCATAACATTAACAACACGTTACATAAAAAAATACGGTTACATCTTTTAAACAGTAGGTTGCGCTTTCTTACACAGCTCCCGTTACTGTTTTAAATAAATGCAAGGTTGAAAGTTAATGTTGAGATTGCAGCGCTAATAAAGTAATAAAATAAACAATATCGCGTGCGGCAGTTTACAGCAATAAGTAGAACCGATTGATTATTATCTATACTTTTTAGTAGTTTTTGTTACTCAAGTTAATAGAATTTACTTATAAAATCAACAAAATACGAATTATAAAGTTTGTAATAATGGTTAGCAAGACTTACATGACCAACTCACAACAAAAACCAACCATTATATAATTATTATACTTTTATTCTCATATTTTTAAAGCAGACAATGAGATCAATATCTGAAATTGCCAAAAAATAGCTAGTATTAATTTCAAATTAAGTTATATCTAATGCACATAGCCTACTACAAGATCAATTCCATATAAATAAAACAATACCTCGATCATTATCTTCAGTGGACATAAATCGTATCGAAAACTGATTAGATTGAAGTGAGCCATAATATATTCCAAGTGTTACTTGAATTTATGGAACAAACCTCTCGCATTTGTCGTCTAAATCTTAAGTTTGTCTTCTTTAGATATAAGCACTGATATTGGTGAAATTCTCTTTCCGAATTATTAATATTATTTCCAGTGTAAAATGAGTTACTTGGAAGATATTTCTGCTAGACATTAATATGTTCATTGTTAAACACGCCATTATACACGAATGATGTGTTATTAAGTATATATTTTAGCAAAGGTTTAGCATGAATCTGACTTTGACATTCCTACCTTTATCAAGTCTGTTTATTTTTTAATTATTCGAGAATATGTGCCTCGGTTTTACTTACGTTCAATTTAAAGAAAGTATCAAACGGCGAAATACTACAGCAAATAACTAACTTTTATAAAGAAAAAAATCAGTGAAATACATATAAAAAGTCGAGAAAACGTTTGTATTTAATACATCGTTTTTTACTAGTACTATTACTAATGTTATTTCTTCACAAAACGTGAATGCAGGAATGGCGATAAGTAGCAGATTTTTAACTAGAAATACATTTCAACATAACCGTGTTTATTATTCCTACGAACCTCCTTTATTTAAATTACGTCATTGCATTAAATAACACCAACTATTATTTTAAAGACGCATTTTGTATTTAATACGTCTTTAAACTAATGACTTATGTAATACATTTGTCACCATCTGTCCAATATATTCTGAAACACAAAGAAATTACAGATCAATATTCAATATAACTTTTTTTTTCAGATTTGGGTAGTTGTTGACAACTTCTGTGCCTAGGGAAGCTGAGTTGTACTTTTGACAGTAAGTTAATCTGGTCCAAAATGTTTGTCAGAAATGATTATTTCATCCCATCAGTGATAGAACTCAAACTTAGGATACCTGAAAAATAATAAAAAATGCAGACGTATGTTAATGGCGAAGAGTAAAAACTCAAGAAGGAATTTTTAACTTCTGAATTGAATATGCTGATAATATGAACTTTTGTATTAACTATGAATTATAAACCCCAAAGTCGTAATCTTTACCGCCTTGCTTTAAAGAACTGAGTGCATTTTCACCAATACAAGTACAAAGTTCCGAAGCATTCTGGTTACCAAATTATTTCCAAAAGATGACGCAAGGATAGTCGTGAAAATCCATAGATGTGTGTATATTGGGTGGTGAATTAATAAACAAAAATTATTGCTGGTATTTGCATTGTCGATTGTTGTTTTTCTGCTCATGACATTAAAACCAATATACTACTTTATTTGAGGGAGTGTTTTGGCAAGCTATCTTTTTTTCGAGGCTTTTTATAATGTTTTTTTCTCATATATACACCTCACTGTTGCAAGTTCGCTATTCTCAAGTATGAATCAGGTATACTGTGTTCAGTAGCAGTAATATAAACTATGCCTACTGTTATTTCACCTTTCAATATACGCAGCTTTGTTGTCATGATCTCCTGCTAGAGTTATGTTCCTAACTTGAACATCAAGCCTAATCCATATATGAAAGCTAAAATAATAATACAGTTAAGTACTTAATTAATTTGAATATTTGACTGGCTCTGGTTCTTTGGATACTATATTTTGACACACTTAAATAGCGTATTTTTTAATTCTACGATATTAGGTCAGTGATATTCTTGTTTCGAGAAACAAACCTTGACTATTTCTGGTGAAACATTGCAATAAAACGCCTATAGACATACAATTAAAGAAATAATAATAGCAAAAACATTTATATTAAGAAGCAACACGATATTTACTTAATTTTCCCTTTAGCTTACCACAGTAAAACATTAACAAGATAATGTTGGTATGCTATCATAATGAGTATTGTATATTATGTATAAAATTTAACCCAGGACCTTCCAGAGCCCTAAGACGAATCCCGGTCGGTAATGGGTGCACTCGTGGCGCACATTCACTCGATTTGCTCAGTCAAACAAACCTTTCCCCCACACTCCACCCACCCTACTTTTAATTTGCCTCTTATACCCGTGTGAAGTTTACAAGATGTAGGACAAGTTGTAGACTCGAGAATTTGTTGAAAATTACTTAAACATAATAATAACTAAGAGAAATAGTTGTTTTACAGAAAATGTGTTGTAAAAGTGTG